TATGTACGGGTTTCATCTTATGGGAAGCCTTAGGAATGGTTATTTGGACCCTTATAGGTACTGTGATGACAGTGACCAAATATAGGTCTCCAGTATCAATGAAACAATATGGGTCTAAAGTGTCTGTGGCCAAAAGAGGAACATTTCTTCAAGCTTTAAAGACATCACGCAACACCATAGTCTAGATTGTTGATTCAAGGGCCTCTGATCATATAACATGTTGTCATGAGTTGTTTACCACTTATACCCCATATGTTAGGGAATATGAAAGTCAAGATTGTAGATGGTTCATTACACCTATAGCAAGAAAATGGAGTATTTGAATTTCAGATTCCATAGTGTTAGAATCTATACTCCATGTGCCTAAGCTTGATTGCAATTTACTTTCCATCAGTCAACTGACTAAGCAATCAAATTGTTATGTTAAGTTTCTCCCATCCTATTGTGTATTTCAGGACCTATCATTTAGCGCGACAATCAAAAGTGCCAATGAGTATGGAGGGCTCTACCATTTCAGAGTCTCTACTTGAGTGGGTAAGTAACTGATTGTTGGTAACTCTGCATCTATCTCTAAAGTTAATGCTTTTATTGTTGGTCACCTTAATTTTCATTATCTTAAACAATTGTTTCCAACCCTCTGCCCAAACTTGAATATTAATGACATTCATTGTGAAGTGTGTGAACTTGCCAAACACCACAGGACTTCCTTTACTCGAGCCACATACAAACCAATCAAACCTTTTACAACTATTCATAGAAATTTGTGGGGACCTTCTCGTACTCCCAACCATACTAAAACATGGTTTATTTCCTTCATTGATGACCATACTTGTGTTTGTTGGGTCTATCTTTTAAGAAACAAGTCGGAGGCTGCATCCACTTTCATCAATTTCTTCAACATGATTAAAACCCAGTTCAACACCACAATCCAAGTCTTACAGACCGATAATGGCATTGATTATTTTAACCAATCTTTGAGTACTTTCCTCCAAATACACGATATTATCCATACTAGCTCTTGTGCCCGTACACCCCAACAAAATGGGGTTGCAGAAATAAAAACTCATCATATACTTGATATTGCTAGAGCACTTATGTTTACTTGTAATGTGTCTAAATTTTATTAGGGGGATGTCATTTTGACTGCAACCTATCTCATCAATTGTATGCCCAGTCAGATTTTATCCTTTAAAACTCCTCTCCACAAGTTGCAAAATATTTTCTCCACATCTCATATTGAAACCAATTTTCCACTTCATGTGTTTGGTTGCACAGCCTTTGTCCATAACCACTGGAGCACCAAACTTGAACCCCGAGCCATCAAATGCATATTTCTTGGCTATTCTCCGATTCAAAAAGGATACAAATGCTTTGACCTTGTCACAACGCATATTTGTCAACCTTGATGTCACCTTTCATGAGGCTACTCCATTCTATCCCAATTCTTCAATTCAGGGGGAGAGCATAGGTGAATTTTAGACTTGGGAATGAGAATCTAACAAAGAACTCGTGCTTCTTGAGCCATGGTTTGCACCAGCTGAACCTAAGGCATTACCTTCATCTACCCTTCCAACATTCCTTTCAGTACCATCTCCTCTTATGCAACATTTTGAGGAGCACAGGCAATTAGGAGGAGATGCAGAAAGACCACAAAAGGGAGGAGAACTCTTGGTTTACACTAAAAAATGAAATCAAAAGACAGTGAGCAACTTGTACTTGAAGCACCAAGAAAATCGACACTGGAGGTAGCTCTTGAAGCAAAAACTCATGGTGACTTAGAATTTTGGGCAACTCTTGAAACCTTAACATTGAATGGTACAAAGCAAGTAAGTGAATCTACTGATCTTCCTATTGCTTTGAGGAAGCAACCTCACCTGTGTACTTTCCCTTTGATAGAGAGGTTTGTTTCATACAATACACTCTCTCCATAATATTAGACATTTGTTACTAATCTTGATAAAGTGAAGGTACCTGAGACTATACAGGAAGCTCTAAGTATCCTTGAATGGCGAAGTGCTATTATGGAAGAAATGAGGGCTTTAGAAAAGAATAAGACATGGGAACTTGTTCAGTTATCAAAAAGAAAGAAAACAGTGAGTTGTAAGTGGGTGTTCACCCCAAAATACAAGGCAGATGGAACCCTTAACAAGTTGAAATCACGCTTAGTGGCAAGGGGGTTTACCTAGACATATGGCTTGAACTATGAAGAAACATTTTCTTTGCTGGCAAAATTGAACACTATCAAAGTCTTTTATCTGTAGCAGCTAATCTTGAGTGGCCTTTTCACCAACTTGACATCAAAAATGTTTTTTTGAATGGAGAGTTGAAGGAAGAAATCTATATGACTCTACCTCCTGGGTTTGATAAAAGCAGGGCGAATCAAGTTTGTAAATTGAAAAAGTCTATATATGTCTTGAAACAGTCACTAAGAGCTTGGTTTGACAGGTTCTCTAGAGTCCTAAAGTTCAAAGGTTGCAAGCAAGCTCTGTCGGATCATACAATGTTTGTTAAGTTCGAGAAAAGCAAGAAATGTATCGTTATTGTACATGTTGATGACATAATACTCACCGAAGATCACCTTAAGGAGATAGAAAGAGTAAAGGCTACCTTTGGCAAGGAATTTGAAGTCAAAGATCTCAGGAAGTTAAAATACTTTCTTCGGATTAAAGTTGCCAAATCAAGGAGAGGAATCTATGTTTCTCAAAGAAAATATATACTCGATCTTCTTACTAAGACAGGTATGTTGGGTTGTAGACCTGTTGAAACTCTTATTGAGGTCAAGAAATCGATGAAGAAACCCAAGCACAAGAATGGAAAAGAGAAAGACTCTGAGGAGGAAGAAAACTCAGATGAGGAGTATGAAGAAGAGAAGGAAGAAGCTACTGACAAGGAGAGATATCAAAAACTTGTTGGAAAACTTATATATCTTTCCCATACAAGGCCAGATATAGCATTTGCTATCAGTGTAGCAAGTTAATAAATGAGTTGCCCAATGAAGAGTCATATGGAAGCAGTCTACAGGATTTTCAGATATCTAAAAGGTACTCTTGGTAAAGGGATGTTCTTTAGAAAATATGAGCAAAGATCTATAGAAGTTTACATTGATGCAAGTTAGGGTGAAACTTATAAAGATGAAAGGTTAATCTCTGGCTATTGTTCATTTGTGTGGGGAATCTAGTCACATGGAGAAGCTAGAAGCAAAGAGTTATTTCAAGAAGCAGTGTTGAATCTGAGTTGAGAGCTTTACTCAAGGAATAATAGAGGAATTGTGGCTGGTATGAGTCTTGAATGAAATATAGGTTGAAGCAAGTTCACCATTGAAGCTCTACTGTGATAATAAAGCTGCCATAAGCATGGCTTTAAATCCAGTACAACATGACAGGTTGAAACATGTGGAGATAGACTGCCACTTCATTAGAGAAAAAGTGGAAGGAGGAATTATATGTTTGACATATTTGCCTACAAAGTTGCAAGCAGCCGATGTTTTGACTAAAGGGTTGCTTGGCCCTACATTTGAGAATTGTATGAGTAAGTTGGACATGATTAGCATTTATGAGCCAACTTGAGGGGGAGTATGGGAATATTTGGTATTTATTGTAAATATTGTACAGTCATTATTAGGCTTCATTAGAATTTATTAGTATTGATTTTCCCTTATATATATAATCAGCTTGTACTTAGTATTCAAATAAATGAGAACTATTATTTTCTCCCAAATTTCACATGGAATCATATATATTAATTATAGATATTTGTAACTATTAGGATTTAATAGGGTAGATCAAAATCACATATTATTTGATCTGTTTTTTGGTTATTTCCTTTTTCCTATATATTTGATTTTTTGGCCCCCAATAAAATGGCCAGATTGTATCACCTTGTATATTTTTTCACCTGCATGGGACGAATAATAGCATTGCAGGATTATGCCCTCTTTTTTTTTTTTTGGAATGGAAACTGAAATTCATAAGCAGTCAACAAATAGGACAATACAAAAAACAAATACAAGACCAAAGAGAGTCAACACAATCATCATACGCCTCCTAATGTAATATTAGGTGGGGGATGATCAAAGAAACAAAATGAACTCTCCATAAAATGAGCTTTACTAGTAAGGAAATGGGCGTGACTAATGACATCTCTAAAAACAAAATTAATAGAAATAGACCATTCTCTATGAATGAAATTACAAGCATTTTGAATGATGTCCCTATAAGGGTGTTCCTCATGGTATCCTCTTGTGAGGAGGTTGATTGCTTCCACGCTATCCGAGTATACTTCAACATTTCTCAACCCCTTAATCCAACAGAGATTAAGACCTTCAGAAATGGTGGATGGATAGTTCCCAAGCTTAGAATTAAAGCCCATAACCCTAACTCCTTTGTCATCTGAGGTACATCCTCCACAGGTTGCTACTTCATTTAGACAAGAGCCATCAATGTCAAGTCTTATAGCTCCTTGTGAAGGTGGGTGCCAAGACTCAGTGCCACTAGATGTAGAACGACCTATTTTGAGTTTTCCCAGCCATATAGAATCAGTTGAGGCTTTCAGCAGACATTTCTTAGGGTCAGGTTGGACAATTTGTCTTTGGTCATCAAGGACATTTTTACATTGTGTAACCCAAAGTTCCCAGCACATGTAAGTGAAGACTAATGGCCATGAGAGTGCGGATTATGCCCTCTGTCTCACAGCTAGGATGCTGTTTATACATCTACAAGATCTGCGTCGTAATTATCATTGTTAGGTCACATCTTGGTAGCCAGTACCCTTTGTTGTAGCTTTTAGCCTTATTTCAATTATTATCAATCTAGATTTGTTTTATAACGCTTCCTGTTAAATATGGTTCAGAGCTAGTATACCTTCTGCAGTTAAGGTCTGTAAGTTAAATTTTGTGCCCCAAATATCATAAAGGAATAAAATTCTGAATTTCAAAATTTTAATTTTACCTGCAGCATACTCTTCTTAAGAAGTATTTCTTATTAATTGAATCTAAAATACAGGTGTCAACCCAACAGCTATTATGGTGCAATCTCCTTATGTTGCTCAAGTACAACTTTTGAGGGACATGCTGGATGAGCTGCCAGAGGCTGCTGGTACTGAGGTTGCAACAATTGATAGCTTTCAAGGACGGGAAGCAGATGCAGTAATTATATCCATGGTATGCAACATGTTATTTCCCTCTTTTTACATCCTTGCCAGCTCGTCATGATTTTTTACGGCTGGAGCCTCTCTTTCTCTTCTTGTCCATCTTCAACCCTTTAGTCTCATAACATCAGGCCCATCATTTAGTTAATGAAGACAAAGATAGTATAGGATGCCCAAGTCGCATTGAGTAATATAGGATATCTTATGGGATATTCAAGTTGGTTGGTTCTCCCACCTCACCTAAAGTGCCTATCCATTGGTGGCTGGTAGTTGTGGAAAGGGTTACCTGCAGACAGTCATGACTAATGAAGAAGTCGAGTGAAGAGTTATGGGGTTTAGTCCTTGGAACATGGGCTTTCTAAAATGGGCCTTGAAAGCAAACCAAGGGAAATTATTATCTTTTTGGTTGATTTTAACTGGACTTAAAATATCTATCTAAGAAACGATGAGGATTGGTCAATGGGCTAAGTTGGAACAGGCTTTGATTGATGAGGATAAGAAATGATGTTATAACTAGCATTTATGTTTATATACGAATTAATGTTTTTCTTCTCGCTATAGGTACGTTCAAATGCTTTAGGTGCTGTTGGATTCCTAGGTGATAGCAGAAGAATCAATGTTGCCATCACGAGGGCACGCAAACATGTAGCAGTGGTATGTGACAGCTCCACAGTTTGCCATAATACCTTCTTAGCAAGACTTCTACGTCACATCCGGCATTTCGGTAGGGTGAAACATGCAGAACCCGGTCGTTCTGGAGGTTCCGGGCTGGGCATGAATCCAATGTTACCCTCCGTTAATTAGTGTTCCGATTTCTGACGCTGCTACTGCGTGCTGATGCTTCGTGATTGTTTCTGATGTTGCTTTCGATATCAGTATTGATCATGCATTGTTTGGCCTTTCATCGGTCAGCGTAGAATGTAAAGTATGGCAATTATGAACTCAATTGAAATTCATATAAATTAAATCATTTTATCAACTGCCTTCTGCAAACATCAGGGGGAGTTGCGCTGAAACAACGTGTTAATTAGACTGTACCTCATGATTTAAGGTGAACTGTACTATTCATAACATATAAAATAGATCTTCAGTAATATTGTATATGATATATTGTTAATCATAGGGACTTCAAATATGAAAACGACGAACTAGGACGTGAATGGCAAGTTTTCATTTTGGCGCACACGTTTGTTAGCGAGTTAGACTGTCAAATTTTCTCATTGCCTAGGTAAATTTGCTTTGAAAGGTCTAATTGAGCTTTGATGGTAACATCGTTTATAAAAATTGACCATTGTACATGCATTATCACGATCTTGCGAAGTCCCTCCCATGAAAAGATACCTCTAATGCATGCAGCCTTTGATAAAAACACCACTTGATTATGGAAAGCTACAAATTAAATACCCATTATTCAACACATTGACGCTAGGTTTGAATAAGATTATATGATTGTTCTCGCGTGTGAAAATAAGCGGCCTTGTTCTCGTGATGCACTGATGCTTGATGCTCACGAAGGACTCCAAGGGCTTAATGTGTTTAAGGGCATAATAAACATAATTTGTTACACCGGTGTCAGAACCAAAAGATACCCCGTGAAGATGAAAATAATGTAACATATAGTATACATTCAACGTTAGCTTTTATTATACGTTCTACATATGAGATCTACACAACGATGATCTATTGCATCATGTAATTTTATTCAATGTAATGCAGTTTCAATATCAGCAACCATTCATGGGTAATGATCGGGTAGAAGACTCATAGACGGCCTTCAACTGCGTGGGGCTGATATGTTCGGCGCCTAAGCTGGGAATCCTGGTTGGGTTGTTGTAGAAATATTCTTGTTGGATCATTAGGATCAACGTACCTGCAAAAGAAAAAAATCAAAATTTTTTACCAATTGGCCGACATAAATCAGTAATGACAGCAAAATATTCGCTTACGCATGTCTCATCATCTCATCTACAGGAGTCTGTGATGCTTGCAAAGGATCCAGGTGAGATTCCGTCCTGATATTAGAGTGTTGATTGTAACGCCTTACCGAACCAATCAAATTGAAGAAAAGAGGAACGAAAGTTCCACAGCCCCCTTCTTTGAACAAGATCTTAAATGTGTGCGTGGAATAAAGAGCTCTATGTTGGTCATCTGGCACCACCTATATGGATGGATTCTACAGAACTCAGGTTGTTGGACAAATGTTATACTACAACAATGACAACAAAAATAGGGACTCTATCCCCATATTGTGTCTTGTTTAATGTACCAAGAATTCTGATTATAATCCTTTTGACACCAAAAAGAATATTAACAGAAAAAATACAAGAGTCAAGACTCAGAACAACAAACATATAACAGGGTTTAATAAACCCTCGCTCAAACTTACAGGCTCGACGAGTCCAGAAATATTGTTGCAGTGAAATATTGGTTGGTTAAATTTTTCACCATGGATGTAAAGCTGCAAAATGTGGAAAGCTAAAAATTAGCAAGACTGCAACAAGTAATAGTGGGGTAGAGAAAACATGCAAAATATGCTTTATCTTTACTAATTATGTTTATCAAACCAACATGGTTTGCGAGAATTGTGATGTCCAAACACTTCATAGGAATTGGAATGGATCTAATGATTTAATTGACAAAACTCTACTTGAACGGTAAAGCAAGAATCTCAATCTACTCTTTCTGATACTTGGGAGAATCTCCTGGGTGCAAGAAATCAAATGAATCACAAAAAGCTTCCAGCTTCCTAGTCCATATTTGTAATGCTTAAATAAATGATAATAAGTGAGCAAATGTAGTGCGTGATATCTTATTCTTCCACAGAACAGTCCGGTACATATGTAGAATAGTGGGAGAGAGAGAGATTGATGCAATCGCATAAAATCCTCTCTCAACAAAATAAAATAAATAGAAGATACTAATCTGAATCCTAGAAAATAAAGCTGACCAAGATAATAATAATAAACTAAGAAACCCTAGAGATAATGGGCTCAAAGAATAAAAGCCCAATTCCAACACTCCCCCTCAAGCTGGCGAATAGATGTTGATCATTCCCAACTTGCTCACAAAATCTTCAAACTTAGTTCTGACAAGAGGCTTAGTCATCACATTAGCTACTTGTCTTCCGGATGAGATATAAGATAAGTCTATGACTTTATTTTCTATCTTCTCTTTGATGAGGTGCCAGTCCATCTCAACATGCTTTGTGCGATCATGTTGGATTGGATTATTAGCAATCTTGAGTGTAGCCATGCTATCACACCACCATATCTTAATTGGGGTATTCATTGGTATTCCAAGTTCTTCCAATAACTGTGTAATCCACATACCCTCACAGATTCTGTGAGACAAGGCCCTATATTCTGATTCTGCATAACTTCTTAATACTACTGATTGTTTCTTACTCCTCCAAGTTACTAGGTTACCCCAGACAAAAGTGCAATACCTAGTTGTGGACCGTCTATCATTAATCACACCTGCCCCATCTGTGTCTATATATATTTCCACATTTTTTTGTTCTTCCATGCTGGATGTCATCTTGGTTGCATCTACATAAATTTCTATACCCTTCTGATTATTCTTAGAAAAGAATAAACCTTTTCTGGGTGTCGTCTAGAGGTATCTTAGAATCCGATACATTGCTTCAATGTGTTCTTTTTTAGGATTACTTGCAAATTGACTGACAACTCCCACTGCAAAAGAGATATCTAGCCTTGTGTGAGACAAGTAAATGAACTTTCCCACCAACTTCTGATACCTTTCTTTATTAACAGATTTAACATCTGTTTTTACTTCCAATTTGCAATTAAGCTCCATTGGAGTATCTGCAAGCTTAGTCCCAAGCATTCCAGTCTCCTTGACTAAATCAAGTGTATACTTTCGTTGAGATACACTAATACCCTTAGAAGATTGAGCTATCTCCATCCCAAGGAAATATTTCATGCTTTCAAGGTCTTTCACCTCAAATTCTGTAGCTAATTTCCCTTTCAACTGTGCAATTTCTTTAGGATCATTGCCTATCAAGACTATATCATCCACATAAACAATCAATATAGTTATTTTTGAGCCACAATGTTTAACAAACAAAGTGTGATCAGCCTGACAATGTTTATAACCAAATCCCTTAATAGCACGTGTAATCCTCTCAAACCATGCCCATGTGGATTGTTTTAGCCCATATAAGGATTTCTGGAGCTTACAGACTTTATTCACATTCTCAAGATCCCACAACCCTTGGGGGACTTCCATGTATACTTCCTCTTTCAAGTCACCATTTAAGGAGGCATTTTTGACATCTAATTGATGCAAAGGCCAATCTAAGTTCGCTGCAAGAGAAAACACATTCATACTATTAAATTTAGCAACAGGTGCAAATGTTTCTTGGTAATCAATATCATATGTTTGAGTGAATCTTCTAGCAACCAATCTCCCCTTATATCGATTAACACTCCCATCCAGATTATATTTTTTGGTAAAGACCAATGTGCTCCCTACAACAGACTTTCCGGGAGGTAAGTCAACAATCTCCCATGTTTGATTTTTACTCAAGGCCTTCAGCTCTTCTTCAATAGCTAATCTCCATTTGGGATTAGTCACAGCCTTATCAAAAGTGCTAGGAATATCTTCACTATCAATACTTGCAACCAAAGCCTTAAACTAAGAGTTAAGTTTATCATAGGAGACATACCTGCCAATGGGATGTCCAGAACAACTCCTTTTTCCTTTTCTTAGAGCAATAGGCCATTGGATATCTTCAGGACTGGTTTCAAGTTGAGAGTCATGACTCTGCCTTGGAAAAATAATGGGATTGTCTCTTTGCACTTGCTGACTCCCCTGATCTATTCACAATAGACTCTAAATTTTGGTCTTGAATGGCCATTAGTAATGGTTCAAGGTTGTCAGACTCAGATTCAGGTCCTGTAGGATAATTAGGACAAGATTTAGGTTCTGTAGCAAAATCAAACTTAGGCAAGTCGGGTGTTGTAACAGGCGAAATGGGTTCAGGTTCAGAAATAGAAGCATCTAGAAGTGTTTGAGATCTAGTATTTGGGTTACTAACTCGTGGGCTAGGTGAACTATCATATATTAACCATTCATTATCATTCTCCCCTTGAATAGGTAATTTGGGATAGAATGGAAGAGTTTCAACACACTGAATAACATTTGTACCCCTTCTTTGGAGGGCATACGATCAATAAGATATGCAGCAGTGAGGACAACACCCCCCCAAAAAATATTAGAAACATTATTTCCTAGCAAAAGAGCCCTCGCCACCTCTAAAAGATGTCTATTTTTCCTTTTAGCCATCCTATTTTGTTGAGGAGTGTTCACACAAGATGTTTGATGGTGTATCCCTTTCTCAGTAAGGAAACTTTGAAAGTTTGAGTTATGAAACTTTGTCCCATTATCACTTCGAAAAACCTTGATAAAGGTCTGAAATTGAGTTTGAACAAACACATGAAAATTTTTAAAGATAGAGAAAACTTCAGATTTGTCTCTCATCAAGAACAGCCACATCAAACGGGTATGGTCATCTATAAAAGTAACAAACCACCTAGCTTTTGAGTTAGTAGGAACCCTAGATGGCCCCCAAACATCATTGTGAATAAGGCAAAAGGTTTGAAAGGAACATAATGGAGTTGAAGGATAAGAGGTGCGAGTTTGTTTGGCAAACTAGCAAATATCACAATGAAAATCAACCTTTTTTTTATTCATAGAATTGGGAAACAAAATTTTCATGTAATCAAAACTTGGATGACGTAATCTAAAATGCCATAACATAAAGTTTTCATCAGACATAGTAGAAAAACAAGAACTTGTATCAGCCATGTAGTCTTTATTTGAGGAGTTGCCTTCAAGATAATACAACCCATTAAATTCTTTGGTATTGCCAATCATTTCCCTAAAGCCATGTCCTGAAAAACACACTTAAATTGGTCAAAAATAAAAAGGCAATTTAATTGATGACCTATACACTTCATGGACAGCAAGTTACATTGTATGTCAGGCACATATAAGATGTTTGTAAGGATTATATTGGGAGAAATAGTGACTGTGCCTGATCCCATAACCTTGGCATAAGTATTATTTGCTACTTGAACACAGGTATGTTTAGAATAGGGGCGAAAATCAGACAATAATTCTCGAAAACCAGTAATATGATCTGTAGCTCCTGAATCAATTACCCAAATATTGCTTGTCCAGGAAATAACACTTAAAGCAATGACAAGTTTAGTACCTATTTGAGCTGAGGTAACAGAGGGAGTTTTCTCACTTCATCTTTCCTGAGAATACTTTTCTAGAATTCTTCATAGGACAGAGAGATTTTCATTATTGAGCATGTCACCTTCATAGTTGTTTACCACAAAGCCCTTCTTATCACCTTTAGTTCATTGTTTTAGATGGGCTGGTTTCTCATGAATTTCCCAACACGATTCCCTGGTGTGACCATTTTTGTTACAATGATTGCATTTGAAATGCTTCTTCCCTTTTCGCTCTCCACCCTAGTTTCCATATGCCACCATGGCCAAGGCTTCTAAGCTTGAGGTAGGAAGAATAGAAAGAGTACATGAAGAATTCTGAATAAGTTCTTTATGACTTTCACCATACCTGATCATATTAAATGCATCTTCCAGGGATGGGATGGGCTTCATGCCCATAATTCATCCTCGAACATCTTCAAAATTATCATTCAACCCAAGCAAGAACTCATAGCAGCATTCACGATCGACCACTTGGCGGAAATACACCTCGTTTGTATAGCAAGACCATTGGTGGACTTCATACAAATCGATTTGTTGCCAAAGCTTGATGAGAGCACTATAGTAGAGAGTAACAATTTTTCCCCTTGCGTGAGACTGCAAAACATCCTTTTCACTTGCAAAATAGCGACTGTATTTTCTTTGACAAAATATGCGCGCTTGGCTGATTCCCAGATTCCTCGAGCAGAATTAGCAAGTAAATAGGTCTCATTAATCTTGACTGTCGGAGTGAACAAGCCAAGTCATCACCAAGTTATTCTCAGCACACCATGTTTCATATTGAGAGTCATCAATAGCCGGTGGCTTGGGATTCCAGGTGAGGTATTTTTCTTTATATTTCCCACGGATGAGCATTAGAATATTTCTAGACCACTGTAGATAATTGTTCCCATTTAGACGAAGGGTTATCATAGCTTGAGAGAAGGAATCAAGTATAGAATTCCCTCCTGAAGTCAGAACAGGAATATTAGCACCCTGTGGACCTCCTCCCCTAGTCTTGGTCCTTGTTCTAGGGCCTCCCCCTAGCGCCGATGATGACTAAAGAACCTCATCACCAGCAGTGAAAGCCCTAGGTTGATCGGAGAGCACTGCTTTGTATGACACAGAGGGACTGCTTTGATACCAAGAGAGGGTGCAGTGTGTGATTTCTTATTCTTCCACAAAATTGTCCAGTACATATATAGAGGGAGAGAGAGATTGATACAATCGCATAAAATCCTTTCTCAATAAAATAAAATAAATAGGAGATACTAATTTGAATCCTAGAAAATAAAGCTGACCAAGGTAATAATAATAAACTAAGAAACCATAGAGATAATGGGCTTAAAGAATAAAAGCCCAATTTCAACAATAAGAAATAAAAATAGCAATTGAAAACATCACAACGTGGGTGTAGGGATGTTGTCATGTTGAATCCCACAACCCTTCCCCCTTTCTCCACTTCCCATTACCCCTTCTGACTGTTCAAACACATTGATCCATTCTCTAGCTGATCCTTCAAAAGCCTCCTCATGTCCTTGAGTAAGGTCCATTTGATATACTGTATAAGACCTAATTATAAATTATTATACAATGCATTATAAGCTTATATATTGTTTGATGCACAGATCGCATTGAATAGGCTCATAAATAGAGCCTTGGGGGTGGGACTAAGCCTGCTAAGATTTTGATATGTTAGGCTAAATTTATATACTTCTTTCACTCCCCATGCATCTTCTTGTCTTAGAACATCTTTAGCGAAGACCACCCTTCAGCAAGATTCTAAAGCTGGTTAGCCACCCACCGCCACACTTCTTCCACTACTCAACCATTACCATCATGAATCAGTTCCAGCAAGACAAGTTTGCCCAATTTCTACCCACCATTGCACATCAATTTCCATCCTTTTGTGATGTGTTAAAAAACATTTTCTCCCATCTATTTTTATGATCCTGAATCACTTTCTGTCCTTTTTGGTTGATAGATGCGTATGTCATTATACCATCATCCTTGTCACCTCTGTCACTTCATCATCTTCAATTTTTGGGCTTGCAGCTGCAACAGATGAAAATATAATCCCTTTCACCTTCAGTTTCTCATATTTATCTTTCATGCTTTTCATTTATGCTTTGATTTCTGTATTGGATTGCGGGTTTTATTTTTAATTAATTTTTCTAGATTAGTAATTGACATCTGGAATGTTGATGAAGAAGACTATGGTTGCTAGCTTGCGAGGGATTTTTTTGGTATAAAGCTGGGTTCCTTTTGATTCTTTCTATCTTTTTGTTTTGAAGAAATTTGATTTGATGGTGATGTGGTTGGTGGTGGACGATGGTAACAGATGGTGGCTCTTTGATGGTGAAAGAGAGTTTTCTTCTTTTAAACTTCTGCAAGGTCATTTTGATGCAACACACACTCACACACACAGCTTCGGATGCAAACAGTGGAAAATTTGGGAGAGTTTCAGAAACGGAGAGGAGGAAAAGGAGGGAGAGAGAACAGAAATTTAGGAGGAGAGAGCAAATATTTCAGGGGGAGAGAAATCAGAACGTAAGAGGGAGAAGAGCTAGCTAGCTTAACAAACACGTATTTCATTTGTCAAAACAAGCCTCCATACAAGAGGTTACCTTAGGCTATTTACAAAAGGGGTTTTGGTTTTCCTAACCAAGAAGTAAACCCACTTGCAAAAGTAAACCTACTAACAAGCTATACTAGAAAGTAAATAAAACAAAATAACATGAAAAAGTACGATAAATTTCCTTCTATGGTAGGTTTCTTCAAAATATATTAATTCTTATTTTGCATCACATTTTGGCCTTTTCGTAATATAAATATACATATATTGATGAAAAAGTTTATCCAATTTCTATGGACATGCCAAACATACTTTAGAAGCCCATTTCCACTTCCACTTCCACTTCCTTCAAAAACTCCACTAGAATACCAAACAACGCATAAGAGGTAAGATTGAAGTGGAAAAAGGAGTGATGGGCACTTGGATGTGAAGTACATTTATCCCTTTACTATCTGAATTTTTTGTTGTTATTTGGTTTATTAATCCTCCTAGTTGAGTTCTAATTGGGGGGTTATCATATGACAATTAATGTTGCTTTAATTCAGATAAATAACATTTTTTTTTTAGGGGGTGGGGGGAATGAATAACCATCAAAAGGGGCATGCAATTATACAATTCTGCTGTTGATTGGAACTCATTGTCTTGCCAAGATTTTGATATATTTTGGTACTGTAATGTAATATAAAATTGTGATTAGAGTCATTGGTGTGGAAATGTGCTGAACTTTGTTCTTTGATTGAGATAAATTGTGAATCTATTTTATAATTATGCCATTTGGTCTCACCAATGCCTCAACCACTTTTTAAGCAGTCCTGAACAAACATTTTAGAAGAGTGTTCATAGATGCTTTTGCCAATAAAAGAGATTATAATAAAGGAAACAATATAATATAAAAGAAATTAAGAAAGTATAATAATACAACAACAATAACAACCAACCTTATCCTACTAGGTGAGGTTAGCTACACGAATGGCACAATGCCATTGTGCTCTATTATCAACCAAACTTTCAGAAATATTATTAAACAAGAGGTCTCATTCAACAACTTCTATAAGTGTTTTCTTTGGTCTTTCTCTACTCTTTTTATAGGGCTCAAGATTATTTGTTCCACTCTTCTCATTAGTGCCTTTCACAACCTTTTACATATATGTCAAAACTATCTTAAACAATTTCTTATCATTTTCCCCTTAATAGATGCTATTCTCATTTTTTTCATATATGCTCATTTTAGATTTTATCTTTTTATATATGCCTGCATATCCATTTCAACATTCTCATGTCGACTACTCCAACTTCATGCTCTTGTTGTCCTTTTAAAAGCCAACATTTACTACTATATAATGTAGTTGGTCTTATAATAGTTTGGTAAAATTTCCTTTAACTTTATTGGGCACCTTTCAATCACAAATAATTCCTTTAGCTTCTCTCCATTTAAGCCATCCAGCTTATATTCTATGTGTAATATCACCATCAATTCTCCCAAATATCGAAGCTTTTCCATTTGAGGTATGATCTAATCTCCCAATCTCACTTCCAAAATACTATTAAATGCACTCTTATCAAAATTGCAAAGGAAATATCCTATCTTACTCCTCAGGCAAAAACCCTTCAACTGCAAGATCTTCCTCCATAACTCAAGTTTGTAATTAATCTCTTTTCTTAACTTTGTAATAAGAATTATATCATTCACAAAAAACATACAATTGGGGATTTCCTCTTGAATATGCTCAATAAAAACATCTAGAACCAAATCAAATAGATAAGGGCTCTATCATTTGCCATTCTCTTAAGAACTTCCTTTACCGCGCTATCACGCATCCTTAGATAGAAAGACAAATTCTGATTTCCTTCAAGAGTTATTAAATCCTCCAATTCACTAGACGAGCCCCCTCTATCATTGAAAAGCTCATAAAAGTAGGTCCCCCATTTGTTTTTAACATCACCATATGTAACCAAAACTCTTCATCCTTTATATACCTTGTTCCAAATCTCTTGATTTTTCCCCTATGCTTTGCAATCTCATGAATTTTTTGTTCTCCATCCTTTGTCTCAAGACTCTCGAAAAACTCTTCAAATGTTTTAGCATGTGTTTCACTTACATCTTTCTTAGTTTTCCTTTTAGCCATACGATACCTCTCCCAATTAAGAAAGTATAATAAAGTAAACAATAAAGTCACAAAATACATTACACATTAGATAAATCCTTCCAAAATTCCCATTACTTGTGAGTGATGTGTAAATTTGATTTAGAAACTTTGTCCCATTTCCCCTCAATTTTTTTGGTATTTTGGTGAGAGCCAGGAACATCCTATTACTCTGGAACAATTTCTCTTGATTGTAATTCAAAGAGTTTGTAAAAAGAGCAAAGCAATGTGGCAATGCGCAAATGATTCTCATATTTTGTTTAAGAGAAATTTCCACATCTACAAGAGCAAATCATTTCCCTTACATAAGTTATGAGATAGAATTGTATCTAAGGCTTCTCTTAGGTGCACACGTGTTTCCTAAATGACTCAACATTGATATGCAAAAAGATAGAACAGCCTACCATGCTCAAATTTTATAAGATCAATACATGCTCTTTATTGAGCTTTTCCTATCACTTCTAGTTTGATGATACCTTATCCTCTATCTAGTAGTAATTATTCTTATCTAATGAAATTTCATTATTTGCAGTAATGGTTAGGGAAGGAGAGAAACAAAAGAATATATAAAGATTAAAAAAAAAAACAGAGGGCATGACAAGCAATAATATTTTTAAAAAAAAAAAAGCAATTTCACATACCAAAGGCATGTCAAAAGATGCAAAGTCTCCAACAGGCACTTTGGCAATGAAAACCATCCGTATATTTGACAAATAGATCGTTCCCTTTGTTTTGATGTGACCCCCTTGATTCCTGGCCATGCATCCCCAAAGTTAATAACAAAATGATGATTAAATACACAGAATCTAAAATTGTCTAACTGCAAGATAAAACAAAAAGGGAGAACTAGAAAATGGGTCCAATGCATTTATGTTTTAAATATCAGATGTGGGAAGTAAGACTAATAAACAGTTCAATTTTTCCCAAGTAAAATTATAGAGCATATGGCTAATAATATATAAAGGAAATACGATGGAAATTGAAGTGCAAAAGTGATAATGTCCAATTCACTAAGTACTCATATCATCCTTTCCTTGTAATATTCCCAATATACCTTTCCAATTTCCCATTAGTACTATTGTACTTCTCACCACTGTTCAGTGATGATTTTTCAAAAATTCCCTTTTCAGGAATGGAATTTGGTTGTAAGCTGAAGGTGTGTTAACAATAGTTGCAATGCAAACATAATAATATGCTCGAGGAGAAACATGAAAACGGAATGAAAAGGTAAAGCTAGCTAGAAGCAACTAGCTGATCAGAGTGTACAGCCCTAAACTATCATAGTTGGTTGCAGGTAGCCAATCAAGGAGGACTTCTTTGCTTCTAGAGAAAACGAAATTGTTTTATCTACTGTCTTTTGTCTACTGTCTCTTATCTGTAGGCCACAACTTAGAAAACAACTCTTTGTCATCCAAATCAATGGATTCCCAAGGATATTTTCAAACAATGCTCAAGAATTTGAATAATCAATAATAAATTCCCAAGGAACAAGGACCAGTTGTTGCCATCCATACAAACAACAGCAAGAAAGAGGTATGCCAGCACTGCTTTGCTAAAGCCTGATCATGTTGCCAGTCCCGTAGTCAACCCCACCATAAAAATTTAGCCATGATAAACGCTAAAAAAGTATGTCGCCTATGGAATGAATATATTCTATGCAAAAGGGTCATTGGACTAATTAGCCGCAGTCAATGGGCACAGCAAATTAGAAATGGGGACGGTTTAAAAGAATATTTAAGGTACAATGAGGCAGTTGCAACATAAATGCTTGTTTTGCTTTCTCCCGCTCGCCTGGGGGCCTTTCGTTCTCGCAATTATTGAGAGCCTTGCCCTATACTTCTGAATTCTGACGTGTGGCAATAAAGGAGTTTGAATTCCAGTAAGTAGGCTTAGATTTGGGCTTATTGGGTGGCTTTGCAGAAGAAAAATTATTTTCCATTCCAACTTCTTGTCCAAGGACTTCAGAAGTAGTTGCGCTTCAAGCCGTGTAGCCTACTAATCCAAACTCCTGTAGTCCTGCTTTCTTATGCCTGTTTGATATCAGACCCAGCTACTTCACAATGCTCCGACGATATTAAAGGTTTACAAACATAGAATGACTCCTAGGAGAACTTGTGCAGGTACATATCCAATCCCCTGACGGTGTAAGAAACCGACAAAATCCTTTCCTCATACTTCATTCCTATTATTATTAAGAGAAAAAGTAAATAAAACCATGAAAATTTAATGTTCTATAATCAAGTCTTACGCACCCGGGGATCTTATCGACCTCGAACTCAACGCCGTCTCTGGCCAAGACAAACATCTCGTTCACGAAAGGAACGGGCATTCCATTAGGAAAGAGCTGAGGATTCAGAGCCATCTGGGAACACCGGCGAACTCGCGACGGATCTCGATCGAAATTCGGATACAGGAAATTAAACTCCGGAGTTATCCGTCGATGCTTCGGATGAATTAGAAATCAGAAGATCGTCCTATGCTTTAGAAACGCGGAAGACCCCGTTTCCGAGTTTCCGCGACTTCCTTCTTTTCTAGAGAACGGTATACGGTTTCGTTGTTCTTCCTAGGATAAAACAATCCCCATTTTATTTTTAAAAATAAAATTATAAAAATTAAAATTATTTGTAAATTTTTAATTTTTTATTATATGACTATACTCCAAGTTGTTTTGTTTTCTTGGGCCAGATTTGACAATCATGGACTTTGCAATAACCCATGCTTAAAACAAATCGGATCGTCGTCCAATTAAAAAACTAACAGGTTTAGGTGCTAGAGCTTATGGTTTTAGAGTTTTATGATATTAGCGTTTAATGTTTTATAGCTTTAGTATTTGAAGCTTGGGATTTTTGGCTTAAGATCTTAGGTTTTGAGTTTAGAGTTTGGGTTTTAAAATTTTAGGTTTAGAGTCAAGGTTCGGGGTTCAAGACTTGGGGTTTTCCAAAAGATTGGATTCTCCTGGTTGAAATGGAGGTTTAAAAACCCAAAAAACTATAACAACACTATTCATACCTTAGTTGCACTAAATCCTACTCATTCACCCCTTCTTTACCCTTATGGCCAAGATCCTCTGTATAATTTTGTGTGCTACTGGTGCTACCCTTTCCTACATCCTTTCCCTTCTTTAATCTTCTGCTGTAGGTTTTAGGAAATGGTTTATAAATCTATTGTGAATTGTCAATTCTCTCACACTCGTTCATTGTTTTTTCTTCTTGCTACATCTCTTGTTCTCCTTTACTTCAAGCTTCTTTCTTGATTTATTTTCTCCAACAGAGATTATAGCAAAATATTTCTTTTCATTATGGGTAGATCTATACAGATATGAGCAAATGTTATAGGACATCATTGCAAATCCCTTTCTTCTTAAGGATAAGAAGTGTAGTAGATAACATATGCTATCAGTAAAGAAAGGTTTGAGAACTTCAACATACACTTCAAAATCTTCCTCCTTGTTTTACTGTGATGGTAGATTTAGCTACAGTATTCAGTGCTAACTTGTGCTATAAAGTATATAGATCATTGCATAGCATGAAGAAGTAAATAGTTCAACTCAAACCAAACTACAAAAAGCTGCATGTCTAATTTGTTTCCCATTTAGAGCTGTAATTTGTGTGGTTAGGGCAAACTTTATATATCCACATAATTTGGTTAATTTTGTGGTAGAGGTTGGTCCTCCCAAGAAATTGAGCTAGTTGAGTCCGCATAAGTTGTATCAATTTTTTTTAGTTCATTTCATAGGTCAAGTTGATCGTTAAAATTCAAGATTTGTCTTATAATGCCAAAAAAATCACTCTCAAGAAAAGTATAACTTTGCATGGAATTACCTCAAAATTGTAGGAATTGATGAATTGTGGATTTATACGTATAAATGCACTTAAGTATTGAGAAAAGAGCTTTATCTATTTTCTCAAATTTTTGCAAATTTGGATTTACAAATTTGTTGCTATATTAATGGTTCAATCATGTTGTGTAGTAAGAAATAAATTTTCTGAGATGGCTTTCTCATCCTAACCTCATTAAACTATTAGGTAGGATACTGTTGGAAGGAAAATGAGCTTCTTCTTATATATGAATTCATGCAAAAGGCCAGTTTGGAAAATCATCTATTTCAAAGTGTGTGGCTAGTTAAATATCACTACTTAGGTCAACTAGATAGGTCAAAACATGAAATAATTTGTTAGGCATCTTAAAAATCGATAAATAACATTCTTTTGCTTTTGTAAAGGGGTTTTGCTATTCAACCACTTCCATGTGACATTAGGCTTAAGATTGCAATTGGAGCAGCTCATGGTTTGACGTTCTTGCACACATTTGAGAAAGTAATTTACCGTGATTTCAAGGCCTATGATATATTGCTTGATAGGGTGAGTTCTATAAAATATAGTAATTGTAACATTTTAGAAAAATTTAGCCACAATTGACTGAGTTTAATTAGAGTAATTAAGTGAGTTCATGAGGTGTGTGGCTAAAGAAGTTTGATAAATATGTTTGGTTATGATTTTAGCCCTAAATTTAGGTCCAAAATGAAGTCAAGCTATAACATGCTAAAAAATTTAACTTAAGGTTAATTGGGTAATTAAGAAAAAATTAAACAATTGAAAGTTAACTCGAATTAAAAGATAATATAAATATGGCTAATAGGTCTATCAGACTCTAGTTAAGGTTTAGAATTGGACCCTATGTGATATTTGGTCACATTTGAGCTTAATTAGATGAACCATGTTAGGAACCCTAATTTTTAGCTTTTAGCCACAGCCAAAAGTCTCTTGGCCATAGCCAAAGCTCAATTTTTAAGCCTCTAGATTCACATTTTAGCTAAAAAAATTAGAGAGTTAAGTGGGAGTCTGAAGGTGAATGAGGAGAGCTTTGCTGGGGTTTGTTGTGGATATCTAATTGAGTCTATTTGGATCTTCTAATCACTTGGGTAAGTTTGTACAACCTCTTGTCTTCCTTTCTTGTGTATTTTCATCATTGTTTTTGGGTAGTTATTTAAGAATCTGAAAATGGGTTGTGACTTTACCTAGAATTCTGACTTCAACGGAATTAATAGATATTTATTTAAGTGTCTGACCTTTGGGTTATGGTGCTAATGATGTTTTAGGATTTTAAAGTGAGGTTTGAAGTAAACTATAAAGCTAATTTGTTGAGTTAAGAAGGTTATGAGTTATTAATGGTATTGATCAGGACAATAGGAGTCTATATGAACTGATAGAACCTAAAAATGGATTTAGTTATGGGTAGATGATTGCAATGGAATTTTTGGGTTTAGGCTTTGATTAGAGTTAATTAAAGATAATTAGTCATTAATGACTATTAATGTGTTTGATTATAGATTGACCATTATTGGTGTTATTGATCTTATTGGAGGCTCTATTTAAGATTCATAGGTACTCTTGATTAGTAAACTAAGAGTTGAGCTAATTAGAAATTTAATTATAATATATGATTGTGTTTGCATTTACACTTTAAGCACTATTATAGATGGTTTAAAATAAGTAAAATGACCTTATGGTAAATATGTTGATTTTGAACTATTACCCAAATATGAAACATGACTTATTATGATGAAGTACTTGGTGACTATGTTTATATAGATTGTATGTGGTATTTGAAATTAAACTTTTGATAGAAAAATGTTTTGGTTGTGAAATCAGTGCCATTAGCTAAAGTTAGGAGAAAGTTTTCTTTAGACAACTAAATCACCTCAATTGAATAATGGATAGAGAAATGGGAGGCGTCGGAAGTTCATCCCTACTGATGTCATTTGACAACTCTGTGTTGTCATGAAACGCGCAATGTGTCGTGGCGCATGGCACAGAGGCAACACACCGTAGCACATCTACAGTATGTCATGATGCACGTGCTATTCTAAGCAAAAAAGATCTTTTGTCTTTTTGCAAATACATTAACATGATGATTGAATGAATACAATTTTAATTTAGGTCATATAATTTAAAATTTATAATTGAATGAATACTTCATGTTTACAAAATTGTTAAGGTAGTTCCTAGTTCCTACCGTTAAAATTTTATTAGTAATTATTAAATTTGATTGATGTAATTAATTATATGTTATTATAATATGATGATTTAAAGCAACGAATACAGAACATATAAATAATGAAGCAAAAATAACTCACTTCTATCGCAAAATATTGTTAAAAATATAATAGTAAGGGCAAAGTTAAAATCTTATTCCAATCATAAGGATTTAACCATAAGTATATTTTCTTTTTGCAATTTTTTTGTTGGATGCAGTGAGGGAAAATGGTGTTTATTATCGAGAGGGATGATGAAAGGAAAGAAAAATCAATGGTGTTAATTTTCATAAAGGATTTTGACTTGGTTTGATCATACTCCTATATGGTTATTTACACTAGAGTACATTACAAGGTCAAAAGCCAAATCCATGACTAGTAGTTATATTCTCAATAGTTGTATTGATTTGTACCATTCTTTTATGGACACATATTTGGTCTTGTCTGTTATTATTGAAGTATGATAAATTGCATAATTTAGGTGTAAAAAAAAAGCTATTTTCCAAAACAGTTATCAATGTCAGATATGTTTCTTAGTGTAAAATAACTAATTAGGCACATGACTTAAATTTGCATTGGAATATGGTTATGATACAGTCTTCTATTGTAAAGATTGCAGACTTTAGCTTGACAAAATTGGTGCCTTCAGTTAGTTAGTCTTACATAACAAGGGTGACGGGCACGCTTGGCTATGTAGCTCTTGAGTATGTGGCGACAGGTTAACTTATGCATTTTTTAGGTTTCTTCCTTTAGTTTTTGTGTGCTCATCTTCATGGGATTTATTTTTTCATGGAAAGTAAATAATTATTTTGAACAAAATCTAAACTAGTTAAATTAATTATTTAGTCAACATCATCAATCAACAAAATTTATATGTGAAGAGTGACATGTATGGAATTGGAGTTGTTTTGGTTGAGATACTGACAACTCTTCGGGTACTAGATCAAAATCAACTCATTGGCCAACATAATTTTATGGACTGGGTGAAACCATACTTGCTAGATAGAAGAAAATTAAAGAGCATAATGGATTCACGATTAGAGGGGAAATGCATTTCATATAGTAAAATGTTTTGCATTAGAGCCTAAACATCATCCATAAATGAAGGAAGTCTTAGAGAACTTGGAGCAAATTCAAGTTGCTAATGATAGGTATATAGAGTTGAGACCCCATTCCACCAGTAACATAGATCCCCGTTATGCTTCCTAACCTTTGCACCCTCAATCTCACTAAATCAAACATTCCTTGTGATTAGTTTTGTTGTGTTATTTGTATCTTCAATTGATTAAAAGGTGTAATCAATAGTACCACAGTGACCATACCAACTTAGACCAAAAGGTGTAGTCTCATTAGCATACTCAAGAGAGAATGCATTGCCTCTGCACCTAGAGCCCAATACATTTTGAATTGTTTTTGCAAGTCCAAATGCCTCAAATACAAATATGTTTCTTTGTGAAAAGGGGTGTTTTCTTTAATATACAAGTTTTCTAGGTGTATAGGGTTTGAAGCGAGAGAGGTTTTGATC